ACAAGTACAAGAAATAGATTCCAGTTTTTTCAGTACAGGCAAGAGAACGAGTGTGATAAAGTACACTCTCGTCTCATACAAGATAAACAGTCAGGAAAGATATTCAAATAGCAAGTTGCAAGTACAAAAAACCAGTTTAGCAATAACTCAAGGGAGTGGTGCACTCACCAGTTCAAATAAGGATAACTTCAAAAGTTTCCTTCCCAAGTGTGGCTTTAACCGTCGGCACCTCCTAGAACAATCAAGGCAAACACTTAAGACTCTACTCCAAGACCTAGTATGGAATTCGCAAGTGAGACTCGGTTACGAGCCATATGCCTAGTCAAAAGAACCATTAATGCAAAGCAAAGAGGTGACCTCGGAGTGAAAAGGTAACAATTAGCCTTAAAAGTATGAATAACCTCAAAGCCCTACCTACAATGACTGACCAATTCCAAATTTGAAGTAGATAATGAAAGCAAGATCAATACTAGGAAAACAGGATTTTTCAGTTTCGCGCAACCCTATATGAAAAATCATATCTCAAGTTTTGTAAGTCCAAAATTAGTAAAAGTTATACCGTTGGAAAATACATTCAAAGGGCTATAACTTTCCAGAAAACATCCTCATAAGATTCAGAACGCAAGTCAGTCAAATTCAAGCTTCAAATTGCTGCTTTATCCAGTGAAAGACAGAACAGGTACAATATTTCAGTCAACTTTGAAAAATCACCATAAATGGTACAGACATAAAAAGGGTCTAAAATTTGTACATTTTATAGCCCTATGAATCTAGTTTAAAACTCAATAAACGGAACTCAATTCCGACATTCCTACATCAAGATATAGCAAATTTCCCGAGACTGTGCTGAAGCTCCGCTAAAATTTTGACAGCATTTCCCTTGTCTTTCTTTACTTTCCAACCAAACCTCAACACCCACAAATCACAAGCTATCAAACACCTTTAATTAGAGCCACCATAAGGCTCGAATACGAGTCATAAACCAAATCCACATATCACTAGAGTAAAATCATGTGGAACGTATAAGTGAAAAATCAAACTAGGACATATGCGGAAACGAAGTTTGGGTTGGAAAACAAAAGGCAGATTTGCTGTTGCTTAGCGGAATTAACACAACTGAAGCTATATCATCGGATTGAGGTGTAAATTACACCTTCTTGAAGCTAAGAGAAAGGGCTACAATGTTGAAGAAGGCTACTCAGTCCAGTTTGCAATGTATCTAAGTCAAATTTACCAAAACAACCCCAGATTTTCCAATTCGAAGTTTACTGTGGCAGTCCGGATTCATTCAGTCATATCTCAGTATATACAACTCCAATTCAAGTGATTCCAAAGCTATTTGAAAGCTAAGATACAAGGATATAAGTCTTAAGAAGATACCGACAACCAAATCAGTAGTATTCCTGGTCAAACTAACCAATTACAGAAGCGGATTAGCAGGTTCGGACATAAACAGGGCAGCAGGGGTATTTCGGTCTTTTCACAGGCTACGTTATTCCGATTGAGGTGAAATTTTGTAGGCAACTATAAAACATTATTATCTACAACTTTCATGTTTTGAGATAAGGCTAATTCGGTCTCTAACTAGGGGAAACAGTACCGGGCAGAAGGGGGAAAATGGAAACCCTAATCTGGAATTTTTTTGCTTCAAGTGCTAATCTTCTCCAAAACAACATCTAAAACAACTAAAAACCACTAATAAGCAATTAATTGAAGTAAAGAGGATGTTCTTGGCAAAATACCTTAAAACCCCAAGAAAGTTGGTAGCTTAGTGCTTCCCTTTCCAAAACAACTCCACCAAACCTTCTTAATCCTTTCTAGCAAGAAGTTTTATGGAGTAATTTAAGATGCTAATGGTTGGAACTCAAGATTGGGCAAGAAATTGAAGATGCAAGATGAAAGGTTTTGCTTGATGTTTCCTCTTCAAGGTTCGGCCAAAGCAAGCAATAAAATGGAGAAATTTTGGTCAATTTTGATTTATTGGTAAAGTTGGTCCAAAGGTCAAAGTCCAACCAAATAACAAAGTGACACTTGTCACTCATTAATGCTACTCTATCCTTTTGTCTCTCCAACTCTCATCCATTTGGGTAACCCCTAATCATCTCTTAACACCTAGTAAATTAATCCCTGAATACTAAACCTAATCGACTGAATTTTATCAAGCTTACCGCACTAGTGGGTCCCACATCCGGTATATACTCTTAAAAGCTCATGAATTAACTTATACTAGAAAAATACTTTTAAAACCCTATTTACTCATAAAATGAGTTAGAAAATTTTCTAATAAAGAAATTACAGAAAAACGTGCGATTAAATAAAATAAAACCTTAGAAATTATGAAAATTTACGGGTTCTCACAATTCTAATAATCATATAGGCAAAAATAATCTAGGGAAAACCAAAAAAAGAAAACAATCACAATCCTAACAATTATTGTTGCACTTAACACTTGCCCTCTCTCCTCTTCAAAAAAAAAAACCTTTTTATGTCCTCCTATGCAAATCTTATATTAAGATCAATTTGGTAGAAAATTCAAGATAAAACAATACAAATGGGTAGAGTTGGAAAGAAAATGTATCTCTCTCCTTTTTAAGATCATTTTAGGAATATTTTTATGATATAAGGAAGGACATTATCGCAAAAGATATGATTTGAGGGGAAGTGAATATTTTTTAAAACTTCAAAAGTGCTAAATGATACTAGAATGAACCTCAGGGGAGATTTCCAAAAAATATCCCTACTAATTAACGGGGATCTCAATTTACCAAACCATGACATTGTTTATTCATTTATTTATTTGTAAGACTATTTTCATTTATCTACAAAAAACAGGGACTTAAACTTGTGCACCTTCTCCTCTAAGTGTAATGAAGATGGAGAAGGCATGCTTTAGAACTCTTGGTATCAAAGAGCATAAAAGGTTTTCCTCGTAAAATCATTTATGGTCTTATCCTTTTGTCTTTTTTTTTTGGGCATAATAAATTTTATTCTACACCTACTATTACTCTACACTAAGAGGAAGAGGCGAACCCAAGGGAGTCAATGGAAAATTCGGAGGAAATTGAACCGCCATCGGAATTACGAGGTAAAAAGCAAGGGTTCATTTTTTTCTTCCCCATTGGACACAGTAGAAGATGGCCACAATGTCAACTTCAAATGCAATAATCTAGGATTTTTTTTTCTTTTTCAGATGGATGAGGGACCAAGGATTTATTTATTTTTTTTGTTTATCTTATGCAAGTTTCTTTCATGCCATGAATAACAAATTGATAGAACTAAGGGACCAAGGATCAAATAGGATATATCATTGAAATGAATGCAAATTCGATCAGAGTAACTGTTGTCATATTTTCATTTGAACCCTAATTTTTTCTACACTCTTTCAAATGAGTCCCTCAAGTTCTTCAATGAGGGTACACAAGCAGAAAGCTAAAAATGAAATGGAAAAATTAATATTCCAAGTACATACATACATACATACATACACACACACACAAAAAAAAAATAGATGGCTTCTAATTTTTTGGAGGTCAATGATTTTGTTTCAGCTAAATTATCCGATGAGTTATGATTAAACACATTGCTTGAATACATAATGGTCTTTTGTTACTCCATTAAATCTGGGTTCTATTGTAATTGACACTTGCATATACGTACCTCTTTTATAGATTTTGCCCAAAGAAATTAAATTAAAGTTTCCAACAAACTCCTACTTAGCTATTCTACAGCTTGCTTTTGTTTTTTGCTGTCTACATTGAAATATCAATAAGAACTATGAGAACCTTTTGCATTTGTATGGTGTAAGAGTGTAATTTATCTCAAAGCACGTCCAGGACCCAAAATGTAATGAATTTACAGGCACTTCTGTATATATATTTACAGAAATTAAAACTACAACAAAATTTGACCAATATTAACTTTTTTAACGTCTAAGGAATTGTTATGGTCCATTGCAAATTAAGGAATTATGAATTTATGTTTAGTTCTCAAGATTGACATTTTTTAACTTTCGGCCACTGCATGAAGATTTTGAAATAGAACTCAAATGAGATAAAAAGGAAAACCCCATCACTTTGATCCAGTGATCATCGATGTTAAAAAATGAAAAAAGAAAAAAAAGTTCACCTTGATCAGTTTCATTTGATAGAGGATATAGCCTTGAATTTGTCGTTTGGGGCTCAATTGGAGCTTTTGTCAAATGCATTTTGAAATTTATACCATGTGGAACCAGCCACAAAAAGAAAAAGGCAAGGAAAACTCATACTTCCTTAAGACATGATTCAAAATACGCGCGCATGTACACACACGCACACATATATATATATATATATATATATATATGTATGTATGTATGCATGCATGCATGTATACATGCACGGGTACACAAATCTAAGAAAATGGATTTTTCTTCATTATCAAAGAAGCCATCCTTGTGATCAAATATGATCAATTTACAAAACTAAGTTCCAACGTCAATACTTCATTAATATACAAATAATCAGGGAGTAAAATCATGCATGCATGCATGCATGTATGTATGTATGTATGTAAGCGTGCATGTATACATGTGTACATGTCTATATGTATATATGTATGTATGTATGCACGCACGCACAGGGACAGAAATCCAAGAAAATGGATTTTTCTTCATTATCAAAGAAGCCACAAATCCTTGTGATCAAATATGATCAATTTACAAAACTAAGTTCCAACGTCAATACTTCATTAATTTACAAATAATCGGGGAGTAAAATCATGCATTTTCTCTCTTAGCATCATGGAGATGGCATGGTTTAAAACTCCTCCTATCAATATAATAACAGAATTTCTATGTAAAATAATTACACTTTAACTACTGCAGATTTCTCATCCTGAAGGGAAATTACAGATTCAAAGGCACCAACCAAAGCCTTAACCTTACTCTTCCTAGTCTTGGCCAGCTTTCTTGCTGTCTCTTTAATCACACTGTTGTATGAACCCTTGATAGGTCTTTTTTCTTCTCAATTTTGGCGCCTGAGAACAACTTCATTCAATTCATTTCTGGTTGTCCTTGATTCGACTCCAATGTCTGTTTTCCTGTAGCTCTTCTTCCTCTTGGTCTCAGCATATTTACTCTGACTTTCAGAAATTGCAATATTCCCTTGCCTGAATTTGAGTCTCCTTGGACTCTTTATCCCAGATGGGATTTCAATGTTACTCTTTCCTTTCCTAAATTTTTGCTTCCGGGGCGAGCAGTTTCCATCTTCTGAATGATCTTTTCCAGCATGTTTTTTCTTCTTCGCAAATTTAGTAGCAGACGATGATGATAGTAATGACATCAATGTGGATGAAGATGATGCCTTGCTATCTGAGCACAATGATAATGAAGACGGAGAGTGATGAATAGTATCAATATGTCCTTGAATAAGGCTAACATCTTCAATTTTTGATGCCTGCTTTTCAGTTAATCCATCGCTTCTCTCAGGGGATAGGCCTTCACAGCTTTTGGTGTTCAGTTCAGTGATGTATAATATCTTCTCTGGAATATTTTCAGCACTTGGTTGCTCTGTGTCAGCATTTTCTAGGACCACCTTACTGTTAAGATGGGATATCTCCTTTGATATGCTCTGTGCATTGGGTTTACGAGCTCTGGATTGAGATGCAGATAATGTACCTGTATTCTCGTTTCTTTTAGTACGAGATATCTCCTTTGGCTTTGTTATCTTTTCTCGATCAATTTTGTGAGATCGGGAACAAGTCGTTGGCAACATATATGTTTTCTTGCTTCCTTTGGAAGTCCCAATGCCATTGGTTGAATCATTTCCTTCAGTCAATCCACTGTTGGATGTTCCCTTTGGTATGTTGACTTCACTGTTTCTTCTTAATTGGTGGGCTGTTTCAATTGAAGACTCCTTTGTTCTGAAAGGTTTCTGCTTCAGCTCCTCAGGATTATTTGAAGTCACTGTCCTTTTTGTTCTTGATGATTGAATTGAGTTCCCCAAATTTGATGCTGGCCTAGAAACTTTGAATGAACTTTTCTGTTTCTCCAAATTTTCACCTTTAGCCGGTTCTAGGCCTATCTTTTTCTGTGAAGTTTCACATCGTGGCGATGTCTTGGATATCTTCACCATTGGAGTCCATTCTATTGTCTTAAATTCAGGTTTAAAACCAAACTTGCAGTAGTCATGGCAAGAGCCTAATGAAGCTCTAAGATAATTAGGCAACACTTTTACTTCATTAGTCTTATCAGCTATCTTTCCAGTTGAGTTCCTTCTAAACTCATCAGCTTCACATGTTGTTTTGTTCCAGATCACTGGGATAGCAATTGCTACCTCAGCCATTAAAAGTTGGCAAAATTATATCTAGAGTTCACTAATCCTGCATAAAAGCGAATCATGCATGTTGAGACAGGAAAATACTGTTAACAGAAAACACGAAGGAGAAGAGGAAACCATTCATGTATGAAAAGGAGATTCTGACTGTACTAAGGGAAAGCAGTACCCTTTACAATGTTAACAACTTGAAGAAGTAAATACTAGCTAAACTGTCAAAATTGATACATGCTTTCAACGCATGGTATACTATTGTTAGTCCATGTTCTTAAGGTTGAAAGTTAAGAAGTTATCAATGTTTATTTTGATTATTTATCAGTACTTAGCTAAGATCCATAACTGACAATTTTGATTCAACCTGTTGTTTGCTTCCACATACATATATTGAAGATCAAATCACGAGGAAGTACCTCAATTTTCTTTTCCCCTATCTTAGTACATAACCGGATTGTCAGTTGATCATCAGTACATTGATCAGACTTTAGTTTCTGAATTTAAGGTTTCCTAAGAGTCTCAAGACATCCTACAACATGATAGGTTTCGCAGGATTATATGATTATCAAATTAGTTTGTCTAACGGGTGATCATAGGGTACATGTTAATACATATTTCAGGTGTTATATCTTTTTAAAGGGATAATTTTAGAAACTTCCTCTCAGGTTTCTGACAATTTCACTAGCCTCCCCTAAAGTTTGCCAAAATTATAAAAACTTCCCATGAGATTAAGGTTTGATAACAAAATTAGTCCAATTAGAAAAAGTAATATTAAAAAAGTACATTAAGGAGAGTGATGAAACTTTGATTTCATAATATCATTTATAAGTTGTATTAGTAAAAGAATAAAAATAATTAAAATTTAGAAACAATTAATACACATACTTCACTACTCAAATAGTTCATATTTAATAAATTAGACAACACAAATAAGCAATAAAACAACACTAATGATCACAAGATGCAGCAAAATAGATTAGTCATCTCTTTTAACATGATGTTTGCTATGATTCTTGTGATTTTGAATAGAAAAAAATCCAAAATTTGCCTTTCTTTTACCACCCTCCATTAGATATATCAATTGATGTTATTTTATAAATACAAGTCGTCGTTCATCATTAAAGAAATTTTCAACAGTTATTTTCGTTAATTAATTACTAATAGTTAATTAGTGCTCTAATTATTTAATTGTTAAATATGAGTAAAGGAGAATGGAGGAAAAAAAAGGCAAAATTCAAAAATTTTGTTGTTCAAAATTACATGAATAATAGCAAACGTCATGTCAAAAGAGATTACTAGACTATTTTGTTGAATCTTGTGATAATTAGTATAGTTTTGTTGCTTCTTTGTATTATCTAATTTATTAAATGTGAACTTTTTGAATGACGAAATGTGTGTATTAATTATTTCTAATTTTTAATTATTTTTATTCTTTTACTAATACAACTTACATACATGCATAAGGGGTATTTATGGAATAAAAGTTTTATCTCTCTCCTTAAAGTACTTTTTTAATGTTACTTTTTCTAATTGGACTAATTTTGTTATTAAAACCTTAACCTCAAGGGAGGTTTGTGTAATTTTACAAACTTCAGGGGAGGCTAGTGAAATTGTTAGAAACCTCAGGAGAGGTTTCTAAAATTATCCCTTTTTGAAAATATAAAATTAATTAAGGAAAGTAAATAAATATAAGAGAGGGTAGGTAAGATTAAATAAGAAAAATATATAAATATAAGAGAAAATAATAATTATTAGTATGTGTGCATATATATGATAAGTTAGGTGGATATTAGATATGTTAGGGCACTTGTTAGAAAAACCTCATCAAATTCCATAACTGTTCATAAACTTGTGACCAAGTTTTCTTTCAGATACCCAAACAAGTTTTCTTACAGATTGCAGTCTTCTCTACCTTCGTAAACATAAGAGGCACTCCTTTTGGATTATAAAGCATCTTAAAATTTAGAAAAGACATGGATATTAGCCAAGATTAACAGATTTACCACATAAAAGTTTCATTCTAATCTTTCATCGCTTCATGTTGTCATGCAAGCATAAGGGTTAGTCATATCCATGAACAAGCTTTAGGAAATCAGAGATTTCATTCCCTCTAAAATTGACAAAAGGAAAAAGCCAAATAAACATTAAGGGTCTAATTTCAAGGGAAAAAGCAAGAAAATCATGATGGCCTCAGCAAGTAGGGGGGATATTTGGGATTTTGTTTGACTTGAATTTGACGTCACCACAAACAGAAAATCACATTCGAAACAGAAACATTATAGAACGAAGCCATTGTTATCCTAATGTCATAACATTTGATAAATGAGATCAGACTTACCTCTTATTTGGCTGTCATCCACCAATCAACATCCAGAGAAGGAATATCTCATTAAGAATCATTCAATCATTCAAGAAGGCACACACGAAAATTTGTGATTTTGAGCTTTGAAAGCTCTAAGAGAGAAACAGAGAAGGAAAATAAAAAGAGCTAGACAAGAATGAGGGATGTTCCCTATGATTTTACAGGCATCAAATAAGTTCTTTTTGGGGGATTTTCTAAATGCATTTCTTGTTCGAATATTCTGATTTGATTGAAAGATCATCTTATCATGACAACAAAGAAAGAAACTGGGGAGGGAAAGAAAGAGGATGCATGGAGGGTGGGGATTCTAAAAAACTAAACAAATCAGTTGTTAAAGAATTAGCCATTTTTAGTAACTGAGTCAGATATATTTGGTAGGCATTATCCTTATACTATATAGAAACGAAATCTGGTCAAAGATGAGTTTTGAATTTCAATCGCATGGGTTGGGGTATTTTTATATTTTGTGGATGTTTTGAGTGTGATTATAGCGTGGGATACAACTTATTGTACAATATATTTCTGGTATTTATGAAAATGCTCTTGTAGTCGATTCAATACAATGCTGATCTGTCCAAAGTTATAAATATTTTGGGAATGTGAGATTATTTAGGTTAGTGTCCGAAAAAAAAGAGATTATTTAGGTCGTCCTTCAAGCAGTGGGTACAACTCATCATATCTTTGGTTCTAAGATAATTATGTAGATGCCCTTGCAAACACCCTCATTGCCCTCTCCCTAATGAATATAGCATCAGTGAGAAAGAATTCTGTTCAACATACTTCAAGCTCGTAATGGACCCTCATTATTGTCCCAACCCCCTCTACCTTGGAACTTATCAATAAACTTCAAGTCTTCAACTAATCAAAACTCGTTTTTTGGTCTCCAAACTCTTCTATTCGATAAAACAGATTTTGGTTCTAACAAACTACTACATTCTTAGTCATTTCAATCCACAACCTACAATCAATTGAATTAATTATTGTCTAAGTAACAGTTTTTTTAAAAAAAAGAAAAATAGCTTGTTATTATTATTATAAGAGATTCAAAGTACATAGAGAGAAACACCACCCCCAGCCTGCGTGACCGATTAAACAAAGTTACTCTCTATATCTACCCCTACGGAAACTAGGACAACCCCACCTATTTAAAGTAATATCTCTTCTAACCATGCGGGGAAGGTCAAGGACGGAATCATAAACTACTGACTCCCCAGAATCAGCCCCAAGCTTAGGAAGTCTATCCGCAGGTTTATTCGCTTCTCAAAAACAATGTGATATCTCGATGTAGAGATGACTATACTGGACCAATTCTTGTAATTCCCGCTGCACCACCCACGGACACTTAGCTCTACCCTGAATAAGCTGGATAAGAACTAACGAGTCAGACTCCAAATGAAAATTGGCCAGCCCTCGAGCTATTACTAACTGCACCCCATGGAGTAGCGCTTTGACTTCCGCTTGTAAACTAGTCATCTCCCCAAAGTAACAGGAGAATGCTAACAGGACCCTCCCATCACTATCCCTGAACAGACCTCCCCCTCCACTCCTCCTAGGGTTGCCCCTTAAGCATCCATCTGAATTTAACTTCACGATTGCTTGCACCGGACATTTCTGTGAGGACTCGCAAAATTTACTTATTTAACTTCCTATTTCTATCTTATTTAATTATTTATTTGGCCTTTTATTCCGAATATTATTTTCTAAGCATTTGAGACCTAATTACATGAAAATATAGTTTCATTATATTTTTAAAGTGACTTGTTTCAAAAATTAATTTTCGGAAGCTCGTTTAGTGAAAATAGTGAACACGTCTTTGGAATCTTGACCGATTGCGAGTGCAATAAGTTTGGAATATTAGAGACATGTACAATGGACCTAAATTAGGTATTTTAATGTTTAAATACTCAAGTGATAGTTATTAGTACTGTCGTTATAAGAATTTCTCGAAAGTTTCGCGTTATCGCGCCTAAATTGGAAATACGCATTTCCACACGCGCGATTTAATTTAGAAACTTTAGACCCTTATTTTGGGACAATTGAGAGTGAATAATATTTATATGAATATAAGTGCATTAGAGGTTTAGTGCACTAGTGAAACAAATTCAAAAGGAATCGAACACGAAACGCGCGGGAAAAAGAGTTGACCTTTGAATCAATGAGAGCCACACATTTTAGTTTCACATGGGTGCATCACACTAGATTAAAACTCTCCACATACTTACCTCAATTGCTGACTCTTTTGCTTCCATTCCAACCGTGCACCTCAAGAGAGAAAAGAACCAAGTTTCTTCTTCAATTTCTTCTTCAAATCTTCACTAATCCTCCACCAAATCATCTTAAACTTTGAACACACGTTGCTAAGCACTTGGTGATCATCTTAAGCTAGAAGAAGGACATCATCTCACGGTTTTTTCTTGGAGTTTTTGGTGACCAAAATTTCTGGTTTTATCATCTAAAGAGGTAATAGACGATCAACCTCTTGAATCTTAGTTTATGGAAGTAGTATTGCACTTATAAGCTTGTATTTTCATGTGGGTAGCTTTATTTATATTGGATTTTGATGTGAAAGTGGGCTCTATGAACTCCCACTCTTGGGTTGTTGCTGATTTGATGAATGATGATGGATATATTGTTGGTTTAGTGGTTAAAATGA